AAAAACACAAGAATTTGAGATGAGGATGCACACATTTCACTCTGAGCCTTGAGTTCTACCATTACCTTGCTTCCTTTGCAAATCAGGTGTTCTGTGTCACTGCTAGTCATTCATAAAAACCTAAAGGCTACAGGAGTGGTTGAAAAAGTATGAAATAAATTTGAACAAAATCGCTGGAAATTTATGATTTTTTCGAACTTCTTTTGACTTCGCGATTTAAAAGGTATTTATGAATGGGGATGTGCTTGGCCAGTCTAAAAAGACCAGATCAGGAGAAAAGATGCTGACAATGCCAAGCCAACCCCTTTTCAAACATAGAAAATGAAATAAGTAAAAAACAAATACTTCATCCAAATTAGTATGTGAGAACAAATAATCAATTTGTCTTCCTTTCCACCAATACTTACCATACATTATTTTTTCAAAGTTGCAGCTTTTGTTCTTTATTTCTAAGAAGGGTTTAAACTTATTCATTTGAACCTGGGTGGGATCCAGTAACATGTTTGGTTTCAACATACATAATGGAACACGTCCATAAAATTCTTAATAGTTCCCGAAGGCATTCAAGGTTTTGCTGCAGTAAATGCTGCAGGAAATGACATTCAATTCAATGATAGCACGGTGAATATTTCAGCTTAATGTTTCATGGATCTAGGCACAGTCAATTACAATGTACACGTAGCAATTAAAATTTTTATGGCATAACTGGAAGAAACATGAAATATTTAGTTTAGATGTACAATGTACCATATACATGTAACAATTAAATATGCATGTATTATACATAATAATGGGAAAAACTGTTATCCCACTCGGCATTTATTTTCATAGTCAATCAATCAGTGTGACAACTTAAATTATAATATAAAAGTCTTTGGTAATTGGTAACATACTGTGGTAAAAACAGGGTTTTTATTGCAAAGGGGGTTTGTAAAGTCTTCGCACATTGCACCGGTACCTTTATAGCAGTTTCTCTCCCTAAGATCTTGCTTTGTGGTGTCCTGTGGTCAATATAGATTGGGACGCCTTCATGACCTTCGTATAAAAAGTGTTTATTTATATAAATGTACATGAACACTCAGAGCACCCCGGTTGACAAAATGCAGGAGTGTGTAAATTCCTCACTGTAGTTAATACCATAGCATAATCTGTTTTTGAAGCAATTTATATGCTTAAAAGTAGAACATTTCTGCACATTTGTATTTACAGTTCACATTTCTTCAGCTAATTTATGTTAATTTTCAGCATTAGTCATGTCATTAAAAAAAGACACTACACAAAATGTAGGTACTGGTACATGTATAGATTCACACAATAAACAACTAATCAAGGAATTTTAAACTGTGAATATTAACAATTAAAAGGGTCCTGTTCCTTTGCAGTATTAATGAGTTTACAGTCAAGAGCCTTTTTAAGAACAAATTTCACCATTAAATAAAGGAACCAGCAGCAGAATTCAATCCATGAAAGTTGTTAAACAAAGCAAGCAAGATCTAGTGCATAGATGTGTACATATGTATGTACATGTACATGTATAATACACTCTGACAGCGAGGTCAATGATTTTATGGATCAGTTTGAAACACAAACATCCACCTGTCTTTCCATCCCTTCAATGTCATATGTTGCTGCCGTACACTTAACAACTGTTACCTGCGGTGTAGGGTTCCATGGTGTTTTGTACGTGTTTTAGGGGGCAAATGGCACAAGAGGCGAAACCAAGGGTAACATTTGCCCCTGAGGGTGTACAAAACCCATGGACCCTGTCACTGTAGGCAACAATTGTTTTGTTATGCATGTTACAGCGGTACCATGGTCATAGATTTCACTCGAACAATCTTACGCAAGATACCGGTAAATTAAAACATTTTTACAAATTGCAACAGGTGAACAGTAAATTAGATATTTAATTTCAAGAAAAATTATTTATTGTGATATCCTTTGTTGACTTATGTTTTTGTTTTTGGGGGAAGGGGAGAAATCTAGGATTTATCACATTTGTTTAACAGAGAAATTTGGTATTCATAAAGCACTGGGGTTTTTGTTGACTGGTTAAATTTCAAGTCATTCACACCAAAGTCCGTTGAAAAGTATCGACAAGATTGAAGAGCAGACAAAAAGAGACAATGACATGAGGGTTTCATATAAACAGCAATGGCAATCACAGCAGAAACAGTCATCAGAGCATACAGGTTCCACATGCATACATGTAGCTCAGTGCAGAAACAGAAGTTTAATAACTCACAGGTCTCCATCATGGTCAGAATGAAAAGAGTAGCACATGTACATGTATGCGAACAGACAGAGTGCTTCAATGTCCCCCACACACAGTGAACATCTCCTACAATAATAGTACTACCACGGCTTTCCACCCTCGTACTCAAAATTACAAAATTGCAATGCATCAGACACGAAACATCAACTGTGGGAAAGATCACCATTATCTATCATTTTTTGTGGCCGAGCAACATCATAAGTGTGAGCGATGCATGAATGATGGTACATGCGCATTTGTACCATATCACATGATCAGTGTGCAACCAATAAAATTCACCATCTATGACCGTGTTATAACAACAAAGGATGAGGCACTTGGACTGAAGAATTCTAAAACCCTTCAAAATGCTTACATGTACAAGCTATTCTCCTTCATAATAGTGAAATACAGATGTATATTTGAATAAATCTGCTAGATACCAGTGTGAATAAGGATTGTGCTTTTCTTTAGCTGAGGGGCATCTTGAACATTTGTGGGACTACAGTATTACAGTTTCACTACTTAGCTGCTGAAATTGAAGATACATGTAACTTACCAACATGAATGGTTTCCACAATTTCTTTATTCCTTCAGGTGTCAAGGGTTCACACCGTGTCATCACTGATGAATAGCAAGATCCCTTGGCTTGCCCACAGAACAAACACTGACTTTCACAGAAACACCGGCAAATATTACTACCAACCTAGTCAAAGTGCTAAGTCCATGAAGCATGGGCCTGTGCCTTTCTCTGTCATGCCCCATGCTTTGGGTAACCAGACCTGGAGTGTTTTTATACATGCAGGTCAGGACTACTTCACCCACTTGTCACACAGGAAGGAGGGTCAGCAAGAATAATCCCATTGTCACTGCAGGAGTTACCATGGCAACAACAGTTTCTGGGCATAACAAGACTGACTGGCTGAACCAATTTAATTGCTCCATGCTCCACACTGGATCAGCTTTCAGACTCATATATTCAGTTCAGTGGGCAACATTGTTCCAGAATGTTTCCAGCGATATCAATTTACCAAAGAATAAGAAAAAAAGCAGTGAAGATTTTGGGACTTGAAATTGGAAATTCCAAGGTGCACTTTGGACATGCTGAATTAGAAGTTGACGACATATTGAGGGAATTAAAGACCTCTTCATGATTGTTGGAATCTGTATGTAATACTTACTGTACCAAATGCACATGCCAATTAATTCAAGACCCAACACAGGTCCAGGAATTTTTCCAGAGGGGTCAGGTGGGAGATTTTTTTCAATGTCTTATTTTTGAGGACTTTAGTCTCCTATTTATAATACTAAGAATCTGCAGGATGGAGTTATTTTTAAATTACGTTAGTTTCTATCATTTTCCTCACTTTTTTACCTTATTGGTTTCTTTTTTTTTCTCAGGGGGGGTCCGTGCTTGCAGGTACACCAAATGAACATACCGTAACTTTACTTCAAGACAACTGGCCAAAACAAATGTTGTATAAGCAGTAATATGAACAACTACCTAGATATCAAATGATTGATTCTGAGAGATTTCAATTTTTAAAGAAAATAAAATATTTTCCTGTACATGTAGTTACATGTAACACTTTGAGTAACAGTTATATTAAACTTACCATGCAACACAGAGACTGGTGTCTTTGAATAATAGGCCCATGTTCCATCTGAGGAAACATGTAAGAACTGCATTTCTCCCACAAAATCTTACAGTTCTTCAAACCATTCATGCCGAACAGCTGCAGATCTAGCAGGCCACAAGACAAGCTAAAGTCAATGTTCCAACCCTCAACTACACGTAATTACTGCCAAAAATTCTTTGCAGGACTAAATGGATCCAACCAAGGAAGTCATGAGAGACTATTTGCACCCCCTCACATATTTACAAGCATCCTGTGTACACTGGCACATGCTTGTCAAAGTGCCTTCGTCAAACTTGTTTTTCACTTCTCTGCACTCGGCTTTTGCAGTCTACTCAACTTGACAGGATCTTTGCCAAATCTCCCTCTGCCCAAGAAAAACCAATATACTAAGTAGCTTGAACTCGAGACACTCATCCCTCCACTAATCCCACTCGGTTACAACATACCAATGTCTACAGGCAATCCATAATGTTAAATCCACATGTGCTCAATCCTGGTAAGACCACGTAGACCTGTACTGCAGGAGCTTCAACAAATACATGAAAATGTAAAGAAGACTGATGCTGTCGGTACATCGTACTTTGCTACCTGCTTGACAACATGATAAGCTTGGTTGTGAGGCACTGGAGTGTGGATGAAGATGCCACACAGTTCTCCGTTACAGTCGATCAATGCATCAGATACATGTCACGTATCACAGAAAAGATGGCTTAACACCAATTATGTAACTGGCACTGTATGACTGTGCTGCTTGTTGAATAGAGAAACATGGCCCCACATACATGTGCATGCACATGGGTGAGGAATACTTGGTCAGTCATGATCCAGGCACTGAGGTCAACTATGCAAATTATTGGAACAGTGCGAGGGGAAAGTTGGCTGGATAAAATGCCAGAATATGAGGAGCTGGTAGAAGAATGGTAGTGGAAATTATATATGAAAGGGAAAAAGGGAAAATCTGCATTACGGCAGACAAGGGCAGGGATGGGATTACAAAGGGGGCAAGGGAGGAAAACAGACATTGCTTGGTCACGGATGTTATTTACGACCATCTGCACAGTGACCTGACCCATGAAAAGCTGCCAAACAAAAACAGAGCAACTTACCCGATATTATATCCATTTTCAATCTTCTCGTGTTCTCATCAGGAAGATTCATGATCATCCACAGAAGAGAATGCAGGTTCAAATCCTTCCAACTGCTTGCTGTCAATTACTTTTCACAAATCAGCTTGGGAAAGTCTGACGAGGGAACGAACAAGTGGTCAGTGCAACAGGCCTCTATAAGGCCTCTATATATGAGGTGTGGGTTTGATGCCAGTTCCAATCCCCTTTTATCCTTTGACAGTCTTGACACACCCAATGTACACGATGCCTTCATCAACAGTTTGAGAGAATTCCAGAGAAGGGTCTTCAGTTTAAATCCCACAACAGTCACCGGTGTTCAATGCTATCTTTCGTTTTCTCCCGCAGACTCAGTCCAGGCAATCTTGCACCCTTCCGTCTGGCAAAGTTGGATCTATGGTTTGATTCCAAATCAAAATTTACAGTGGCCTGGCTTTTCCAGATGCTGTCTTGATCGTGAATTCAGTTGGTACCTGTAAAAATCACGATTTTATTCTTAGCCAATTGCAGTTTAATAAATAAATATAACTGGTGAGCATGATGCACATCTGGTTCCCAGGGCAACAATGTTGAGCTTGCTGTTTGCAGTGCAATTTGTCACTTTATACATGACGGCAATAAATTTATAGTTCGTTTATCTAACACTGGAGATCACAAAACATTATTTGCCAATTTTGATGTTAGTCATAGAGAAAACAGTTTGGTTTGTTGCACTGGTTTTCAAAGGGGAGTACGTACTAGAAGACTGTACGTATAATGAAATTGGCTGTTGAATTCCAAACCATCCGAAATGCGCAAACAGTAACAGCGGAATACATTGGAATACGGGTAAATATCTAACCATGCAGTCATCAGACAGGTGACAACAGCGTGCCTGCGCAAAGTTTGAAGACTTGGCATTATTTTATTAGTATGGTAGAGTGGATTTCAAATTAAATTCCCTGAAAATGGGTCAGCATCCATTCCAAGAGAATAACTGTGCAATTCATGGAAGAGTCAATGCTGAAGGCTATATTTACAAAGCTTCAACACTTTGCGCATGAGAAAGCATTTAAATTTAGCTGTGTACATGTACATTCTAACCTCTTTAAAGTGGAAAAAGAGAAATGGTTCAGTCCAGTACCAGTATTTCAATTTTGAAAGCTTTGTTTGATACCAAATACATCATTACTGAAAGTGCAAGTTTAATTCCAGTGTCCATAGTCAACAATGTCTTCACGGTGCATGTACTTGAGCAAATTATGTTTTGATTTTCCAAAGAAGTCTTCAGTACATGCATGGTGGTACATGTATCTGCACTTACTGTAATTTAGCAAGATGGCTGAAGGCCCTCAATGGGGTCAACGGTATACAAGTAGCATGTAAGTGTAATTCCATCAGCCCCAGAAGACAGAGAAAATGTGATGCTGACATTTTCATGCCACCAGGCTTAATTCTGAAGAAATTAAAAAAATGTACATCAATATCAATACATCTCCTGTACCAGTCAGCTACCACACAGATCGATAAAGTTTCCGGAGCACACTAGTGCTGCTTTCACCCAACCATACAATTAATAGTGTTCAATATGCCTTTGTTCAACATCCTGTGCAAGTAGGGCATGGCTAACGATTTGCCAGTCCAGTTTGTTCTCTTCTTCTTTTTTTTTTTCCCAAGAATGGGAAGTTGACATGTGATTCCCAAATGTTATATGATAACGCCAAGGACAACTGTGGGGCGATCAATAGCTGATAAAGACTGGTGGTGGTAAAGTGAGACGAGACAATGCAAACTCACAATAGGTTCTTCATTGTCAAAGGGGAGTGAACGCAGGGGGGTTTGGATCACATAGAATTCAACAGAAACTCAGCTATATACAGAGAGACTTGATCATGGTCCTTGTAATTCTGGATCAAGTCTGCATCTTGTTTACGGCCGCCAAAGAAATCCAGTGTGATTTCTGAATGGATGGAAAGGTCAAGACAGACGACACCGATAAAAAAAAAGTGAAATGCGATACTTCTCTTTAAGTTCACAGTTTATATTTGGGGTGTTGGTGTTGTCATGCAGTGGTGAGTTTCCTGTATTAGTTCAAGGAAACATGCCACTGCACACAAGTTTATTGAGAGCACTCCTTCTTTCATACTGTAGTGAATTCTGATCCTGGCCTCAAAATCTGTGAGTGAGTCAACGTACGTCTAGGACTGGAAGCATTAATGAGAGATTCTCTCAGGAGGGTGTATACAACTTTCTGCAAATGGATCCTGACATTTGACACTGTCTGAAATGGCAAGATTGAGGGAGGAAAACCCAAGTTTCTTCTCAAGATCTTCAAATCTCTGACAATAAATGTATTTGATCATTCATCTCTTTTGACTATTACAATTTGTACAACTTTTTTGGGGGGCGCCTACAATGAAGTTAGTTCTTAGAAGAGTTGGATAATGCTGCATATATGCAGAACAGACATAAATGATAAAATTGCAAACCTGTATCAAGAAAAATTGAACCTAGAAAAAAATAACTCTGGGTATATCTATATACAATTTTAGGGAAAGGCCATAATAGGTTCCCTCTGTCTCCAACAGTAGTGAGATTTTAAAGACACAGATCATTATCCCTCATACATTATACATTAAAATAAACATCCGTTTATGCTATATAAAGTCCTCAGTAATGACTTTTTCACAGAACAAAACAGCTGAAAGGACTAAGTTACTCACTTACCTGAGTGCATCTTTTAACATCAGTGTGTTTGCATAGGACTGTGCTTGGTCATTCCCTATCCACATGCTGTCATTCACAAGGAAAAGCCATTATCTCATCTCTCAACAAAGTCTTAGTTTTCATCATGAAGTCCCTACTTGTTCCTTACACGTAGCTTGATCCATTCAACCTGTGTTCATCATAATCCTTATATATAATTATAAGCAATCTCATAAAGAGAGGGACCCTTCACAGACTTCTGAACATAGCTTCTTTCAGAATAAATTGGCATTGAAGGCTCGACTGTATCAATTTTTAAACCATGGCTTTTTTCCAACATCATAGGGGTCATGTTATTCAGTCTCACCGATAAGCTTTTCTTCAATAATGTCAGTGAGTCTAAACACTAAAATATAATGTCACCATGCGTGAACAAAACTTTGAAATCCCACCATAAATCAGCAACAAACCATAGCCTTGGATTGTCCAGAATTTATAATCATTATTATAGAATCTTATTACAAAATGTACATTTAGCACCAATTTGTTTTGTGCTTATCAATATCGGATGTATTTATGACGTCACAATGATTCTAATTCTGAGGTTGTGAAACAAACAAGCAACTGCATTTCACACATGTAATCCAACCAAATGTAGCTGAACAGTAGTTTTAAATTAAACAAAACACTTATTCATCACTTTCAATACATGCATATTCAATAATACACATTCATTTTTCAGGGAATTATATGTACGAATATTTTTGTGAATACATCAGTAAATGATTGTGTGATAAATTAAACATATCCAAATTATCCATAAAGGGAGCACTAGAATTATCAAGGTTTCCAAATTCTGCATTTTGAAGCCTGTTTCTAAAAGCAATACTCTAGATAAAATCTAAACAATAGGGCAGTAGTACATAAACTGCACACAAATCGCTTCGTTCCACACGATATGTTTAACGACTGCCAGAAAGGATTGATGATTTCACTTTTTTGGTCTTCAATTTCCTCATGAGCTGTTTAGGTTTTGGAATAAACAATTCACAGATATTTTTAGACTACCTTATGGATAGCCACTTTAGTAGTAGAAACAAGAAGTCACATTTACGTAGTGGTGATGGAAATTTCAAGTATCAATTACAGCCCTGATCGGCAGTTCTTTCCAGTAAAGGTTGTTTTTACTATTTTCTCTTTTTTTCACATTTCATTCTTCATCATTTTCAGAGGAAAAATAACTCAACTTCTGATTCCAACATTTACAATGGCTGACAGTTGAAGGTATCAATAAATGCCCCCCAAAATGAGTGAGACGCATACTGGCATACCGGTACATGCTTCTCCATCTGACATCAAGCTTCTACTGCATGCTTCACTAATTTGAGTAGCTGATCTCTGTGAGTGAGGTTTACATCCATTTCCATGCAGATCTTTTTCTCTAGTGAAATTTGAGTGATGCATTATGCACTTCTGTATAAATATAAATATTTCACAAACTCACGTTCAAGATGCAGTATCTCAATGTACATGTATGTGTGGCTATTCACAAGTGTACATGTACATGTTTACCTGTCTCAAGGACAGGCCAAAATTGTTTCAGACAGGTACCGGTAGCTTTTACTTACACGAAATTTACAACCCCTTACCCTCTTTATATTTAACTCTGTAATTCTTGCAAATAAATCTAAATTTTATTGACAAAATACTGCTTAAAATGGAAACAGATTTCTGAAAAAATGCATACTGGAGCACCATGTTATTCCAAGCAAAGGCAAATAATTCAGACCCAGCCATGAATGAACTTGAAAAATCTGGCCAAAAAAAGAAGACAGGCAATTTTGCAACCCTGTCAGTACTCGATCCTCTGATTAATATACAGTTTTTCATGCACCTCATGGATTACCCCTAACCCCCTACGGTGTATGTAAAATCATACTGAAAACGGAGGATTGAGGATTGTTACAGTTACATGTAATCAATCTTCGCTATTGCCAGATGAAACTCTGTCCAGATATACACTTGGTTCCTTTCTCACACCTCATCAATACACTCCAAGAGATCTATTCCTCCAATTTTAAGCACACTGTATTTATTGCAACATTATAACATGAAAATCCTTGGAATACAAGACAAAAGATGAGTCTATACCCCACAAAATGCAAACAAGCCTTGGATAAAATATTTTAACGAAGCCACCAGCAAGAGATGCCTTAGAAAGTTTGGGAAATACTTGTCAGGGAATTTGGAGGCAAGTGACTTTAAAAAGGTTTGTACCATCTGCATTCTTGTGACAATTTGACCACATAATTCAAACCAGATCAAAAATGGACAAAAAACCCAGAGTACAGCAATTCCATATTTTAATAATTTCCAAAATAAAAAGTGGCAGTGTACAACATTATTCAATGTTATCAACCCTGTGCATACAAGGGCCTTGTCAAGACTCAAAAATAAAAGATTTTTGCCTGGAATGGGATCATCAGTAGAAGAAAATAAACAAAACCCCTGAATTAAAGTCTGCTCAGCTGCTTATGACCAAATACAGGTATCTGAGAAGACTGTGTACAGTGTAATGAAGAGCAATTTAGAATTATTTTTGGCACAGTGTCAATCACAGACAGTCTCAGCAAACTAAAAATTAATGTTGAGTGATCCTCTCTTCCAATAGTTTGTACCTCACCAAAAGGTTGTCATAGACCTGCAAAGCAAACCAAACAGTACCTAAATCTGACAAAGCATTTTTTCACCAATGTAGCTTTAATGGCAAACTTTATACATTCCCTGAATACATCCCCATCATCTTATTTGGGGGTTGTTAATCACATGCCACTGAATTATTCATGCTATTCAAAGGTCCCTGTTGAAAAGACCACTCTCCCTTTGCCTACAACTTGTATGGGTGGCCAAAGTCTGCAGAAATAGCACCTTTTGTTAGGTTTTTTATTTTACTTTAAATTCGTTCAAAATGACCATTTGTCCCATTAAGTTTAAATAGTCTTGAATTTTCATTTAGTGTCTACAGTATTAGTACAGGTATTATTATCTAGTATTCTGAAAGCTGAATGGGCTTTTTAATACTTTGTGAATTATTTTTTTACTTTTGTACCGACAGCCAGCCATAGTTTTCGCTACTTATAGGAAAAACACAACCGTGACATCAAAAGGGCAGACCCTACAGAACTTCATTTCACTTGACTGGTTCCGCCCCCTTCCCCCTCCCATTTCATATACATGTATCTCTTCCTCAGTAAGGCAGAGGAAAATAATGTTGGGACGGAAGCCAGTCTAACATGGCATAATACTACCAAGTGCGTGGTAATCGCACACAAATGACAGATGTTCATATGTGAGTGGAACCAACTTCTTTCCTAATAGAAGAGGATTTCTGCAAGTGTTGTATAAAACAAATAATAAACATTTCACATTTGTACAATGGTACATATAATTTCACAGACACATAAAATGTTCCATTCCACTCGGCTTTGCCCCTTGAAATTGAACATTTCATCTGTTATCTCATGAAATGATTCTTACCATTGCACTCAAAAAAATTCACAATCAGTGACAATAACAAATCAAGCTAACGAGCCTTCTCTTGACATCGTTCCGAAATTTCATACTGCTTTGATTGCAAAGAGCATCAGTCACTTGATAGTCTGTCCATCAAGTTGAGGCAGAGCACAATCCTTCGCTACTTTTGTAAAGTCAAATCGGACATTCAGCACGTGCAAAAATCATCATTCATAAATTGCTCAGACAGTCTGCCTATTCAACAATGTGCATATTGACCATGTATTAAGATTTGATAGTGCCCGCTGAGAAATGATAATGCCCACCGTGTAAATCATTCACTGGCACCTGGATACAAGACAGTTTAATCAAACCTTGATTGGTCAAGTGTCTGTGTGCATACACATCACACGTGCACACCAAATGGAAAATTTGCATTGGGGAAAACGAAAGTAAAGTTCTGGAACAAAATCATTGATAATCCATCATACATTGACTTCTTTTGACTCTCTGACTAAAAAGGTATTTACATGTATGAATGGGAATACATGTGTGCTTTGACGGTAAGACAGGCCCAGGAGACTGAACGCTGATAATGCCCTCTCCTGCGGCTGGGGCATTAGTCGCGTCCAGTCTCCTGAGCCAGTCTTAAGCACACATTTAAGACCAGCCAAGCACACATTTATTCCCTTATTGCACAATGCCTGAATAAATCCCTGTCATCTGATTGGGGGATCACTGATCAAACATCACTGTATTCCTCATCTACACTCACTATCCTGCTCATGCTGCAAAAACAGAAACTTTGTTCTGCTAAGAAATGAAGGTTCCGGTGCTCAGTCACAAGAAACTTCAGAAACTTTCTGAGTATGCAAGGACTCATTTAGGTGACACAAGGATTTCCTGAGGCACTGTATGGAACAAATGACGTTCCACATTTGTGTAGTGGAAAGAATCATTTTGTTAGGTGACAGATGGAAAGCTCCACTCAAATCGGCTTTGACAGGTGTTAAGAGCATTTCCTCAAGGGTGCTTCAGGCGTGATAGTCAAGTACCTTATTATCGTTGCATTGCATTAAAGCAGTGAATTGAATGGCCAATATAGTTTACTCACCTCTTTGGCACCTGGATTAGGCATGGCTGCTAACTTGTACTCTGCTGGCGATGCATGAACAACATCTTCAAATGATACAACTTTATCACCATGGAAACCTAAGAGCAAAAATACCATCATCAACAAAATCATCTCATCCAAAACTGGCAGGCCAGAAAAATTTGTATGAAAGGGAATGTGACGACAAACCACTGGTTTTAAATTGTAATATGGAAAACAAATAAAAAACCTTTCATCGAATACAAAAGTTGTTGTTTGAAGTTCAAAGGGAACACATTATCAAACATACATCAAGCACACCAGTGGGTATGTATACATTTTTGGCTGCTGTGTCTCTGAAAAGGGCAGTGTATGAGAACAATTTGGTTGATTTACACAAAATAGGAGTCAAAATGACTACAAGATATTACTGAAAAACTGCTAAAGGCTCAGCATGTGAAAAAATAGTACTGCTACAACATCAGAAAAAAGGTAGGGGGAGAGCCTGTCTCTTTTAGAGTTTTAACCTCCAAAAATACTACACGCAGTTTTGATTTTCTATAATAATAGGTTCAGCATGGTCAACCCATGCTCTACCATAGCTGACAGCAATAATTACTTTACACATAAGAATGGGTCTTTGTATGGCTGTGCAAGGAAGATGTCTTGTCATTATAGTTTTGATACATTGATGGGATCTATTGATTGGACAAAAAGTTCAAAAGCTTGACGGCGCTAGAAACTTTTGAAGACAATCACCATATCCCCTTTCTTAAGTGTTACTTTGAGAGCCTTAGCAACCCCAGAATAACTGAATTTTTTGTGATAAACAACCTGAATTGTCACCCCTATCCTATTAAACTTGCTCCACCATAATCATGTACTTTTTCAAATATCAAACTGCCTACTAAACAGAATCCAACATACTGGCAACAATTTTTCTCCTAAAAGTACAGTAATGTTAAGTATAACAGAAATGTACAGGAGCATTGCAGTTTTAAGCTCCAATAACCTTCACCCAAAAAAGTCAGCAATGACTTGACAGCCACAGGTTATTTTCACTCAATGCAGGCAGATCCACCATAGAAAGGGTTTTTTCTGCTGATTTTTTTCAAGCCTTTCACCTCTGTATGAAAAGATGCAACACACACATATATCTACCCTGGGTAACGTTTCTTAGCTTCTGATCTTGTTCCACGATATCTCAGGCTAAGCAGTGTTTGGGATATCAGCACGTCCCAACAAAGAGAACTTGAGCATTTACGAACATCACACCATAGCTGGGCTATCTGTGGTGGACAAGCGAGTATTCAACCCTAATTCTGTGCTGCACTCCTTGCCCTACTCCAGTGCTAAGCATTAACTTTTGGTGCCCTACTGTTCACTCTTACCGATACAGTCCATCATTTGCAGCTACCCCAGAAGTAAAGTGACAAAGTTATTGTTAAAACCGTACAAGTAATTGGTTTAAAGATGGTTATGGGACTAAACTCCTTGTGAAATCATTCTTTCCAGAAAGCTGTCATTTTGAAGAGAATAACAAAAAAAGGTCTTATTCAATGATGCATCTCAAGAAATTGCCTTTTGTTTCTAATAAGGGCAAGCACACGCGCAGGCAAGTAACATAATTAATTGGTTCAGTGTGCAACATTCCACAGCTACAGCTGGCCGGATGAGAATGGACACTGAATTCTGACACAATTCAATACATGAATCAAAAAATTTTGATTAGAAATTGAGATCCTAGAATATTGTTTTTCTCAGAACATACAGTATTACTGGGCTAAAACATCATCAGATTCAGTTGTTCAGCACCCATCTTTAGATTTTGAAAAAATCAAACAATCATAATGCACAAATGGTATATAGTGGACTGTAAATGCACCTTGGAACCTTTGACTTAAATGGGTCCTATCATAAGGTTCTTGTTGAATGCATTCGGGACAAGGGTAATTCTAGAAGTTAGGGCTCCAAAGTGTGACATTTTGGTGTCCCTGTTACATCAGACCTTTGTTATTTGGCATGGGAATATCACCGGAATTGATTTCAAACTACTGCTATTTGTTTGGCAGGTAACTAGCATTAATTCATCACTTTTGGAAATTAGAAAAAGTGTTCTGAACTTACAAAATCATATGTCAGATGTGACAGAGACCCAAAAAAAATGGGCCCCTGATTTCTGGAATTACCCACATACAAGTGCTGCCATTAACAATACCTGGGCAGAGATTACATAATACAAGCGTAATGTCTGCAGTATTTCCTGGACTGATTGGATTTCTCTAATACCATGTTTAGCTCGGTATGCACATCCTAGGCAAGCTGAGTTGGCAACATCCAGGACGTACACTGGAGCCCCAAAGATGTCAGACAGCACCTGAAGGATGGCCCTGTTGGACGATGCACCGCCAGTGGCTAAAACCCGGGATCCTTGCTCTAAAAACACAGCCATTGAAACAAGCGCTGTAAGCTCACTACAACTGAATTGACATGCAAAATGAAAGTGCCTCTATACCATTTACAACATCACACATTAACTTGGGATGCTCACATTTTGTGTTACTGTGAGTGGGTAGGTCACAGCAAGGTATGTGTAACTACTCCAAAATCTATCCACAATCCATAACTGTCACAGAAAGGGTAAATACATTAATTGCTAACATACATGTAAATGTTGATCTGGGTTGGAAAAATTTCCGTCCTACACACACAGGCAAAGTGACATTAGATTGCCCCAGGAAGGGGGATTGGCATGTCTTGAAACCAAACTTAATACACCAGCATCTGACAAGGTTAAACTGTCTCAGTTAACAAAAACAAGATCCACTCATTTCCGTGCCCTTCATGATCACAACACAGCACAAAGAACACATGAAATAAAAGCAACGGTAACAGTAACTTGAATTTCACATACCTTGCACTGGACCTAGTGAGATTTTGACAGAAATGAAAGGAATAAATTAAGATACATGTATTCCGTATTAATTGCGACAAGCTCTCTTTACGGTCTGTCTGGAAGCAATATTCACAATTAAAAGATGGCCTAACATGTGTCATCTGCTGTTGAAGTTGAAGAGGCTAGGTCAAATGCTTCTTAATGCTTTTGCTCAGCAAGACTGTTCATTTTTGAGCATTCAAAGCTCAAGAAGCAAAATTTTCATGGAACAAGTTGCACCTGCATGCGAAGCCCATAGGAGCCTGTACACTTGTCAACATTTTCCCAATGGCAAAACAAAACAAAAAAATTTGCCAGTTCACTGCACAATAAGCAACAGTCATCCTTACCAACAAGATAGCCGAGGTTCTCGGCATGGAGTCTCTTGGCCAGAAACTGAGACTCCAACAAGGCTCGGACTTCCACGGCTGGTTGGAAACCTTCCACTTGGTCGTTGTTGGCATTGTAACGGTAGACGCCAACTGCTGATGGGGTAATCTCTTGCACATCAAAGTAAATACCTGAAAATGCAACATCAAGCTGCGTAGTGTGTCTCTGCATTCTCTGGCCATTTTAATGATTTGAACTTTTCTGTAGCATTCAAGAAAGAGGTTACTAGAGAGAGGCCATTTCCCAAGTTTATGGTTGACAAAAACATGGCTGACTCACCGCGATTGCATTTGACGAATGTCAGAGGACAACATGAGGAAAGTTTAAATTGATCACGACTCCTGCCTCACAAAAAACACCATCTTGATTAATTAACAGCGATGCACAAAAACACTGTCTAATCTTCAACCAAGAGAAACATTCATAACCTCCCCCCCACAATATACACACAACGCAGCCAAACAGCTAATAGAATTTTGCCAACCATTTCCCCGCAATGCACTGGGATAAGGCCTTGTCCCAGCAACCTCATGGTGGTGCACTGCATTGTGTTTTGCATCAGGCTGCTGTCTCTCCTGTATTTGGAAATAAATGTGCCTTTTCAGTTGGAGGGGTCAATTAACCCTAACCCCGAGGATGTATGTAAAATCATATTGAAATCAGAGGATTTGGGACTGTTAGGGCTAATGAAAATGCAATGGCATTTTGTTCACTAGGCCCCCCATCCGTTACATTTTTCCCACATACAGTGTACTTGTACATTTGTACAATGTACCGGTATGTATCTAAACACCGTCTATACATGTACACGTACATTACAGGAGTGCTCAGTGGAAATGTATACATGTACACATGTAGGTATGTATACATGTATGAACTACAGGGTAAGTACACAATACAACCCAAAACATTAACATTCAACTTATAGAATTTTTTCATTAAATTCATAATCTATGCTTCAAAGCATAAATGCCATATGAGACTATTATATTCCAAGAGGAAACAACAAGCACTCAATGGCACATTGTAACACCTATGTACCAACAAGAAAAAACTTTAACATTTGAGGACTGCCGGACGGCCCGCTCGCCCGCCCGACGGACGGACGGACAGAAGACAGAAATCGTTATTACATAGGCACACATTTGCTTCGCAGCTCGCCAAAAAACCACAGGTATACTACACTTAATAGTACCAAAACAATCTCCATCTTGCAAGCTATGATGCTCACCTATATTGCCATTATTGCCAGGTGGAGTGGACTCAAGGAGACGATTGAAAGTTTCCCACGATCCCATGCTACACTCATTCCGGATTCGCTCGCGGGTTAGAGAGCCATTTTTAAAGCTGCAAGAAATGAAGCAAACACTTCAAAGACAGGAAACTTTGCTACTGCAGTTCAAAAGCGTCATATCTTCTCGTTTTAAGTTTGTCCTGCTTTCACACGAACATAGAGGTCAGTATATTAAAGCTAGGACATACTACAACCAAACATGCCAGCCACAAATATCCATTGACATGACTGAACTCACTTCTAAGGACACATAGCTACACTGCAGATAGCAACATCATCAGATGAACAGAATTTCATCTGAATGATATTGTTGAAAAATATTTAAAAGTTCTAAAACAGTTTTTTAAATGACTATTTTGTAACAAAACGAAAGTTTTAACAGTGCACCTCAAACCCAAAAATGCATATTTTGTCCATCTTTGTTGCCCATGCACATTTCATGTATCATCAAGCCAGAGACGATTAATAGATTTAATGTCTAACATGCTGATTTTATATGTTAGGGTTATGGTTGAAAAAAAAACCCACACAAAAAGCAACAGTAAAAGTTACACCATTACCAGCAGCCAATTTCACGAAATGTGGCATAACTTTGAACCATGCAAAAACGTTGTGCCACAAATTTCTGCCATAGCTGCACAACATACGTTCGACTTCATGAATAGTTGAGTAGCAGCGCGACATTTTAATGATATTAAATTTCTAGGATGAGGACAAAAACAGCTTTTACGACGGCTGTTCCTTTCCAATGTAACAACAGTCATCAAACAGTTACAGAATCACCTCCACTTACTCACTCCTTCGTCAGAACTGGACAGCAAATCTCGCAGTTCTCTCACAGCCAAACAAGTTTTTCATTACCTTCTACAACAAATTTGTACGTTTCTCGTATAAGCCTTGTTAAGTTCAGCAATGATGAGGCTTAACCAAACACAATAAACTAATAAAATCATTCAATTTTGCTTTGTTTGGTGCCACATAAGCCACCTAAAATGACCACGTAAGTTCCGCCATAATTTGTTGCATAAGTCGCGGACTTTTGTGACATTGGTCTTAATGTGTTGCGCAACTTACGCGATAAAATGTGGCATAAGTGGAGTAAGTAGAATGGTTGCTGCAATAGTAAAACCAGAGCAACAGGTGCACTAAAGCAAAATGACACAACAGCAGTAGCCTGATGGCAAGGAATCCACTTACCAAAGTAAAGCCATGTATGCCTGCACATCGACGGGGTTGACAAAAATGTGGCCCTCCAGGGCAGGGCGTGGTGCTTTCAGCCACAGGAATAAGGTGTCACTGGTCCCCAGACTTACCTGCAAGTCAAGCACAAATGCCATTACGTGTACAGCAACTTTGTTCATACTTTTACGCAACAATGGAGTGCTCGATCGAATTTATTATATCATTTACAATTATGACGAATGCAATTCTTCCACCAGGTCTGAAGAAAGAAAGTTACTGATTTTTTCTGTTCATAGAGGAGCACCTACTATGAAATCAAATGAGGAAAAAACTCAATTCACCTCTCTCAAATTCTAGAATGATCTTGCTAGCAATTACAACTGAAAGGTTTAAGACACTTGACTGAAGCACTCAATCAGTTCATACTTATGGCAAACATGAAAGTGAAGTAAATTTGAAGTGAGGAAGACATTCACAGCAAAATCCGCTAGAGTTAAAATGTGTTCCACATTTGCAAAATATCACCATTCAAACATCAATGTCACATTTCTGTGAATTTTCTCACCAAGAATGAACTGGCTGCTACACTGTAAAACAAAACTTACAGCAATATCTCCTTCCTTCAAAGCCATTCCAGCCAGCGATGCTGGAAAAAGAGGGAAAGTACCATAATGCCTTAGAAGTGACTGTGAAAGATACAAGCCTTCAAAAAATGAAAGCATTCAGTAATTCCCCAACTCCATTGCCCCCCCCCAAAAAAATAACAGCAGGTGAAACTAAAGTGATTTATAGAAAAGAACATTTTAATAAAATTGCTCAATATAGTTGGTAGGGCAGAGTCAAGTGGAATAATTCACGATTTGAATATTCGACCTTCAATTACATGGAACAGCTGAATATTAGTCATACCGACCGCCAGATTGTTGATGAACAAACCATATACAAAATCAGTAGCAGTAACACACACAATTCTACATTATAATCAATATAATAGCTTCTCACATCTAGGAGTATCTCCAGCCATGATTTAGCAAGATTTAAGAGATGAACAAGACTTCCTGCCCTGTTGATAATTTCTATTCCTTTTAAATTGTTTAATAAATCATTTACTTTTTGAATCGTAAGATTTCTGTTGCTTTTCATTTGAATCTGTTTGAAACAAGCCTCCATTGTACAGTTTTTCTCATTTAAAACAAAAGACAATTTTCCCTTCCTTTTGTGAATTTTGCATTCAAGTATTCAAATTCAGAAAATAATATTTAAATATTCGATAATCAATTGAATAATCGGTTATTTGGATATTCGACACAGCCCTAATGGTTAGACAATAAAAGAAATTATAATCTGAGTTTTGAACGCTGTTATTTATAATTACTAAAAAGGTAAAGAATACAAGGAATGTCTTCAAGAAAGTAAAATCTGAGGCAAACTTTAACCCTCATCTTTACGCTCCCTTCCCAAGGCCCTCCAATTGTCCTAGAATTATGTGCTTAATTTGTGACGAGGATATGTTTCAAAATTTCAAAGACTGGAAGTGCATTTTTTTGAAGACAGTACCCTACCTGGATTGTCTCCTGTGAATGCCACCACCTGACACTCAGCAGAGAAGCCATATCGGTCAACAAAGTAAGAAGATATTCCACCCTTTAAAATAAAACGAAAAGGTTTGTGAAGGTTGAAATGTGAGATTTATATGCACAGATGCATTAAACATTAAACATTGATAATTCTGGCCCTTTGAAATTTTTAAAATCTGGTCATACATGAAACTACTTTATAACAACAAGAGAGAAGCTGGAAGAAAGTCATGAATGCCTGCAATCATGGTTACGGTGATCTGATGAAAGTGGAATTTTACAAACAAGCACACAAGAGCGCTTACAAGATTTGTTGAAGATGGCACAGGTGGACCAAGGAGATTAGCTAGGTTCGGTGCGCAGGCGTCCAGGGCTTGTGGACACCAGCCCTTACTTCTTATATCAAGGAGGTTCATCCCTGACCCTGAGAGGAAAATAAGAGAAACGCAAATGACAAACCTTGCCTGATGCTTTGAGGAGAGCCACGGTGGCCAGAATGTGGGTTGACAGTGTGGAGACTGATACCCTCTTTCTACATGTAGTATGTTAAAACAACTCCATCCCTTCAGGACCTCATGGAGTTACAGCATTTATAGAACTTCTAGCAAAACTGACAATGAAATCGGGAAAATTCAACATCTGAGATGCCGGACCAAAGCAATGTGAATACATGAAATAGGCAAATATGGATAGAACACAGGTGCAGAACTGCAAGGCATGGAGGAAATACTTTTTTGTGTCCCTGTTACATCTGACCTTTGTTGTTTGACATGAAAATATCATCGGGATTGATTTCAGACTATTACTATTTGTGTGGAAGGTAATTTACATAAATTCATCACTACTGAAAATTAGAAAATGTGTTCTGAACTTGCAAAATCATATGCCAGATGTGACTGGGACACAAAAAAAGATCCTAATTTCTGGAATTACCCTATACTCTTACAAATACTGTAAATCTCATCTACAGATTTAAAGGAACCAGGAAATAAAAATATTCTTATAAATATTACTAAAACCCTTGAAATTGCATCTTTGGGTTTCTAGTAACCTCATTTTAAATTTTTGTTTTGCAATTTTAACCCATATTTTGATGTTTTTTTGTTTCTATGCTAATGCTATTTGCATATTCATGATCAGAACTGTGAAGTCATCCAAGGCACTAAGGCTGCATCCAAATATCTTGTCTAGAGCTAGGTCTAGGTCTCCACTCCATTGGAAATGCGTCGAGACGCGTAGACAATAGCCATAGTTGTAGCTCCGGAAGCCCGTTTCAGACACGGCCTAAATTTCAATGTTGCACTGATTTGTAAACAGAAAATTTCTAGATTTTTTTAACCACTGCTATGGCAGATTTTATTTTCTTTGGCAATTTACTGCTGTGTAAGTATATGGCAATGATCCAGCAAAAATCCTTTTCATAGAAATGTTCCCAGATAAGAAATTTGGGGTTCACAATTTGAACATGAAAACATGCAACCTGAACCATGTCTTCTTGGATTTACATCAAAGCAAAAGCACCCTCACTTGTCCAGAAATGCTTGGTCAATTTTTAACGTTTGAAAAAGTGCACCGTTCAGTTCACGTAACTCAAAAAAGATGTCAAACAGTCTTCATATATGGAAGAAGAGTAGAGATACACAAAAAGTGATTCTAAGAAAAATTCATTTCCTGGATCCTTTAAGTTTTTGTCTTCCATCAGCCAAGCTCTTACCATCGCTGTAGTCTATTGGTGCATAGCTGCCAAGGAACAAAGTGGCTGCAAAACTACTAACCAAAGAGATTCTCTGTGAAGGAAAAATCATTTCAAAGAATGAAAGTCAGGGAAGGTTCTCAACAGCATCTGAAAGTTTACAAATCTGACAGCAGGCAAGATTGTAACCCAAGACTGTAAACCCAAAGCATGTCAATTTTCACAGGTAATCCAATTGCAGGCAATTACAAGACGCAGCCACAGGCTTAAAAGTTTGGTTTCAATTTTGATTTCAACACCTACCTCGCAGGCATGATACACTGCTTGATTATGTTGGTAGATTTTTGCAATCTGGTTTCCAGTGAAGCGCTGGTGAAAATACAGAAAAACCCAAACATTTCTGAACTGCTTTGGAGTCTCAAGTCAATTAGTGTCTTTAGGGGTTGGCAGACTTCATGGTGCACTCTTTAAAGTTCACAAGTTTTACTATCCTTGTTACATTTAAAGTCATGTTTATGCACGGTGAAATTTAAATGATAAACAAAAGCAATTATGAATACATATATCTATTTCTTTTACGTTTAATCTTTTCCTGTGATATTTTCAAGATACTTTCAAAATTGCTCCGGGACTAATGCAAGCCCACAGTTCTATTGCATTCTATCCCTTCCAACAAAATTGATTTCAACCCATGTTGATCACAGAGCCTTTTAAGTGACGGCAATCACCTCGTATGCCCTAGACCCTGTGATGTCGGCCACACGCTGCGGACCTCCCATCATCCCTTCCAGGTTGCGGCACTGTACTGTGGTGCTAGAATCCATCCACACAGGGGAGTCATTCACGGCAAAGCTGTTCTGAAACAGAGAAGGTCACAGCACGGCATCAGCTGTGTGAACCAACACAGTACACCATGCGGGAACTTTCTGCTGAACTTGTGAAGATTGTCAGAAGTTACCAAAAAAAAGGCAAAGAATGTGAAAAAGCTTTTTCTTTTTAACCCAAGCAAAGAATTCTTGCAGCAGGGAAATAGTTAATATAAACAGAACAAAAACAGTTTTAAGATATGAAAACAATTAGTGATTCATTTATCAATTATATACCCATTTTTTCTGTGGTTTGCTATCTGCAATGTGCTGAGAAGAAACATGTTTTATACACTAATAATCAGGGCTTCAATGAAGAAGGCAATTAAAAAAAACTGTTTCCCAACATGACTTACTTTTTAGTGCACTACCTACATGTACATAATTTGAGTCAAATTTAATGCACTTTCACCAGGATAGCTTAACTACATGCATGCTAGCTCACCTTGAGTTGTTCGTGCAGGAATTGGTTGGATTGTAGATTACCCAGTGTTGCGGAAGCACCAGTCTTCCAATAGACACTGCCATGTTGCTGACAAAAAATGCATAATACATGTACAAGATTTAAACAGCATCAACATTACAAGTAAGCTACTCTTACATTTAGGTGTATACTTGAAGACGGCCACCCTTAATAATTGTGACCAACTATTGCCAACTGAAGCTGATTTTAGGTAATCTTAATGATTGACAATTCCTTTTTCCCCGCTGTTAATTTTTTCATACTTGAAAGTGATCAACAGAGCAACATTTTGGTTGTAGAAGGCTTTGGTAATAAAAGTAGTGAGAGCTGTGGAATCTGCATTGTTAGTTTGTATATGCTACTGGTATCTTTTTCAAGATACACTTAACAGTCAAGAAGCCTTAAGCCTGGTTTTGAAATGGTGGATCATAATTGGTAATTTAAACAAGTGAGAAATGACCAAGATCAATATCCTTCATCATTACCGTCAGAGTGCATCATCAGAGTGCATTAATGTAAAACTTAATGTTAACTTTTGTCTGTCATCTGTTCAAGTTTCACTTGAGTATTAAAGCATGTGAATTTTATAAGCTCTCCAACAGCCAAGGTCATTTACTGCTTAAAACATGTTGGTTGGGTAAGGGCACACTTATTGTCCAAATTCTTATGAAAAAATTAAGTAAAACTCTCTCCTGCAAAATTTCACAACCAAGTTAGAGTGCTTACCTGGCCCGTCCCTGACAGTGCAACGACCTGGGAAAAGTTGAAACCTGCAGCTTTCATGCGGTCAAGGAGCAAGTCTAGTGCCTTGACCCACATAATAGTGGGAGAGGTGATGGTCAGGCGGTCGGCCTGGATGTGCACACCTCCTTGAGTTCTGTGAAAATGAAAGATACTTTTCAGTTATTAGCTGATGTAAAAAAAAAGATCCGCAAGATTGAACAACTCAGTAAAATGCACTTAGCAATGATGACTGAACCATTATAAAAAAAAAGGCAACTGTCATCATGTGCTTCCCAAAATATCCAATTTGGTGTCTGGTTCCTGACTCTCTTAACAAAAACTTATATCCAGATTAACACTGAAATTCACTGAAATGGAATTTGAGCCTGCGACCTCTGGAACACCCTGTCAGTGCTCTATCCAGGTCTATGTTGGTGTTTCTTCCAATTCCAGGGGGTCACAGTTTCAAATCCCGTCCAAGCCAATTTCTTCATTCATCTTTATTGATACTTGGTTTGTTGATGACATAAAGATCTGTTTCAAAATTTTTCTCACCCTTAGTAATGCCTTCTGGTGGCACCTTCTGACGCCACAGAGAGGTGGTTACAGAAGACCTTTGCAACAGATATTTCAACATGTCTGTAATACTTAGAAGCATGTAAAATCCGGTACACTGAGTTCTTTAAATTCATGTGAACATAACAGCTTGAATTCTCCATACTAAAACCACTGTTGCTAAACCTCGTGATTCGGGGCAAGCTTTTGCTTAGTTACATAAGAGATGCGTTGCAACAATAAACTGTTCTCAATGGATAAGAACGGCACAAAGGAACCTGTCCATTCCAGAGATGGTGGTCGCAATGCAAAGCCTGCCCTGAATCACGAGGTATAGTAACAGTGTTTTTGTTAGCCTTGTTCAATATCCATTCCTCCATTTTTTTCAGTTGGGAGGCACCAGGGGCACAGGAAATTTGTGAGGGGGGGACATGTTCCCCCCTCCCCTTTAATGTTGCAGTGAAGTCAGGATGCATTTGTAGCACGACATTTAAAGTACCTCCACTAAACGTGACTGTAATTAAACACTAACCTGAAATCTGGGAGGTCATTGTCAAACTGAACTGAGAATTCCTGCACAACATGCAGTGCATCATTGATTGCAATAGCTTTGATCTGAAAGAGTTCAAAGTTTATATAAGGAGTAAATTATGGCAGTACATTTTCATGATAGGCCTGGTACACTGGGAAATAATAATGCCTTCAGGAGCCTTGATTCAACTCCAAGCAGCTTCACCCTTTGAGTGGGGTCATTCCATGTCAAATCACATCTCTCCAAGTCCAGGAACGGAATTTTAAACTCGACCCCCTCCCCGGCCCCTTGAGTGTTTTCCTTGTAGTTTTTTTTCTTGGTCGATTTTTGTTTATTCATCGGTTAAGTTTGGCCAGAAGGCTAAAATTTCAAGTTTTAACCCTGTTTGACCGACAGTTTTGAGCTACAGACCACTAATTTTGCCCAAAATGGGCTTGACTGCCATTTTCCAAACATGTCAAATGACCTATAGAGAATTAGACGGCCTGCATGGAGCGCCCTCCCAGAGGACATGTTTTGTATAATGAATGCACAAAAGGTTTACTCGAGCCTGGGGGAAGAATAAATGCCTTCTAACGTGACATCATACACAGGGGGTCTATTGCCCTAATCAGATAGAATCTCCAACGTTGGCTGAAATTACAGTCACTTGCGTGATATGGTTTGTTTTCAAGATCACTCCTTTTTCGATTTAAAATATTTTATAATGGGGCAAGTGCAAGCTAAACATTTTGGACCTTGACGAATATGATCAGAGACTGTGTTTCGTAGGGTTTGACCTTTTCCTGTCTCCATGGCTTGACCGTCGTAAGTCAAGGGGCATTAATATTGACCACTGAGGAGGTCGAAGGGCCAGTTTTAGAACTGAGACTGTAGCATAGACTAGGCCTATGAGTGGCGGAGTATTCGGAAATTAGTCCAAAACTAATCCTTGAACACGGGCGAAGAATTCTGTCTTTTAATATCTTACAAACCTGCTGAGTGCTGAAGTCAAACCCGAGAAAAAGCTTTTTGAGCGAACCCGCCATCTCGAACCTGCAAAGTGGTAGGCGTGACTACTAGGCCTACCCGGCCGTCCGCATCGCGCACAGACGTACGTACGTACACATGAAGACAGCCATAATCCACCTGACGGTAGGGCGCCCTCGTCGGCCATTTATAACAGCTGCAGGGTACTATGGCACCTACAGATTTCGGAGTGGGGGTAGGCTTGGAGGTAAGATCGACACAAAATAAAGCACTAAGCCCAGATTTGCTAAAATATAGGAAGAGAAACTTTTAGATTAATATAATCATTCTAAATAATTTTGCGAGTCAATTGGCCATTGCATCCAAATTCAATGGGCCTGTGTGACATAAAAATGAGCACAAATTAATGTTAATGTAAACCAAAAGCTCGGATCTGTATAAAAAAGCATGATCCTCACTCACCATGGGGAGGGGGTCATCTCGTATACTGTGATGCTTCAGAACTTCCGAATACTTGCCTGTTCTTATGAACACAGCCAAATACATGTGTATGCAGCCTACATTAGTCATTGGGGAAAAGTGACATAATTGTACAGCCTTTTATCCACATCACGTACCCTCCCCCTTTGCAAATACCTCCAAAACCATTGCAAGAAATGAACAAATCAAAACCAAACAATCCAAAACTGAACACATTAATTGAAGACATTTACCAATGCTGACTTTAATTATTCAACTAACTCTTACATTTAAGTCAATGAGTAGACCCACAGGACCAATTTCAGACCAAATAATATAACCTAACGTAGTAACAGAATTTGTTCACAATTCGAGGAAAGTCTTTTTTTAGAATGCACATCAATTCAAGACACTACTTCCAACAGCTCCAAATAATGGCACTTTCCAAACTGTTCAGCATACACCTATTAAGCACATAATACAACTACCAAGTACAACACCACTGTTCCTTGAACTGGGCACAATGAATATTCAAAGTCTTGGAACTCAAAATGTGGTCAGGAACAATCAAATTGACCTGGCTGTCAAGTTATTTAAATTTCACTCACTTAAAAATGCGTGGACATTTGCAAAATCAGTTTACTAAAATAATAAATCTGTACAGACCCAGGATAACCAGTGCAAACATAAAAGTTTGAGATTTTCAGTAATTTACAGTTAAACATATGGCCATAGCATCACCACCCGCCCCTGGGTTTTTTTTAGACACACTTGTTAAACCACTGTAAAAGAGCCTGACAACATGTCAGAGTAGCCATCATACACAAATGATCTTCGTGATATGTGCAGATCGCGCCACCTATGATTTCGATGCAAATGTTTTCAAAATGTCGTCAAAAAACAAAGGAGCGCAGTTTAGTTCACTGTAGCCGGCTATCAAGAAACCACACCAATTATTTCACATAGGCCTGACGTTCCTTTTACACATACAGTACATTCCTTTGGAAATAACTTCATCTCCTTGATTCCTCTAGTCAATACTGTGCCATACAGTTCTTAGAATCAACCCCAAGGATGTAGCAGGACAGAGCGTGGCCGTGTTTGACGTAAGGGCCATGTGCTAGCTGTGACTACTTTTCAAAGTGCGTCAATCGGAAGCAGCCATAGCTCTAGCACGCAGCCCTTCTTTCTACTTGGCAGAATGCATCATGCATTCTGCATGCGCTTTGTCGCAGTACATTTGGACATGGCGGATGATCGTGATCGTAAATTTTTCCACCATTTTTCATGTCATTATGTATGAATCAAACAAAATCAAATTTAAAAAAGGCATGTGATTCACTTAATTGTATTATTATTTTCATCAATAAGCTGCTTCATTTGGGACTGAATCTCTTAAATGAGAAAGGAAGGGAGGGAACCTCCCACCCACCCCTGAAAAATTAAAGGCCATGGATGCTAACCAACTAATTTTTATGATCTACATGTATAATTCTAGTTAAGAAGAAGAAGAAAAAATTGTGACTACTCAAGAAGCAATTCTACTCAATAAACAATCCTAAGATTAATAGCCAACCTGACTTTGTATGTGCATTCTCTGATTTACAGTATGGGTTTTATTGATGTGAAACAGAAATTAACACAAGATGATGCACAGAAAAATGTTCCTTCACTCACAAAAAAACATGCATTTAGTCCATCTTGGCAGCCTTTTTATGTGAAACTAATTCTGATCTATTCTGTATGATACATTACGGAGCACAAATTAAATCTGTGCATAAAATGCTGGAAAAAATGAATCAAGGACTAAAAACTCTGCTATGAAGCCATGAATAGCACCACTTATTCCAATAGAGTCATTAATCACTTACATGTATTTAACATTCACAGGAACTTGCTTGCTTTCAAACTGAACTCAGACATGTTGTATAAATGCAGTGAAATTATGAGAACGTAACGCTACAAGAAAAGGGAAAATGTGCATGTGTTCATTTCACTGTCCTGTGTACCTCTTGCTGGTTTGAACTAGAGTAATCTGCTCCAGCTAAAAATGGAGCAAAAATGAAAAACAGATGCTCAGGAGGGGTGAAGCAAGAAATGTAGGGATGCAGGAAAATAAAAAAGTAAAATCAAGTCATGCCTGTGCAATGTTACAGGTGATCAATCAATCAAGAAGATACTTCCCATCTCATTCCTTTGAAATCACTCCATTTCCACTCCCTGTCTGCTGCTTTTTTACAATACAAAGCGACACAAATTACAAATTTATCCCCGATTCATCTAATAACATTGTACATGTGGTTACATTCCTCTTGACCTTCACCCAGAAGTTTGATCCATCAGTGCTGCTTCAGGATGCAGCAATCTTACACCAGCTCGTAGAGATTTGTATGTTAAATTCCAATCTGCTGATCCTGCCTGTTTATATATCATAAGCCATGAAAAGAAAATCAGGCGAACCCGGCGATTCAGGATGGCCCGGCGGCAGCAGCACGAACCCCATGAACTTGAATGTCCTGATGAGCTGTGCCCGGTCCATAATGTCCCGGGGCAGTCCGATGATGACTTGGGTGCAACCAAGGTGTTCCTCTGCGGCATCCAGCAGAGCCACTAAGCTGCAAGTGATGGATGGGGATAAAAATGCTCAACAGAATTCGTCTGCAGAGAATTTTTGGTGTGGTAGTAAAATAGGGATTTGAACAAATCCGGCAAGGAAGGAGCTTTGTTTATTGTGCAAATTCTTTAAATATTGAATGTGAATATATACATATTTAAATAGCATCACAATAGATACATTGGTTCAAATGTAGTGTGCAGTCACGCTATAATGAATTATCTGTCCAGGAGATACGATCATTTGCATTTCTTCTGATAGAAAATGAAAAGTTGAGGGGATTTCCACAAGTGCCTTTTGGGAAGCCCATATGATAAGTACTTAGCACGTGTCATTGGAAGCTAATGTTAACTTTGCCAATTCCTGGACTGTATTTGGATGTTCCTATAAACCTTAAGGAGAAACATACAAATATGAACACACGTACTTGACTTGAATGATAAGAAATCAACTGTTGCACAAGACATGCACATACATCATAAATGAGGAGATGCTTAAATTTGTGCAGTGGGCTGATGGGCCTTTCCAACCATCACTAGAGAGAAGGCACTGTTGACAGCTCAAGGATGAATCTGCCAGATGTGATACAGGCGTGTATTGTCCCAATACAAGTATTCCACAGAAAGAACCCAGGCCTACCTGTCTCTACTCCCTTGCTCTGCCAAATCATTTGGCAATTGAATGTAGAGCCTATTCTTCCAAAGAGCTGTTTCCCACACCAGCTTGCGATTGTCTGTCAATGGGTGGACAAACCGTAGGAATTTCTTACCCTCTGTACCACTGACACCTGCTCCAGTGTCATCAGTCTGGAGGGAGGGGGAGTCAATAAAGAAAACCTTTAAAATTTTCCTGAATTTAAGTACATGTAATTAAAAGGTATTACAATGTAAGAAGTTCCTCAGAAGTGTTTTCCATTTTAAATGAGACGTAATATTGATATCGATCAAGGACTACACTCATTGTTAATCTGCTGTCATGCTCACAGAGGAACGTGATGATTTCCAAGACCACATACAAACATACTTCTAAGGAAGGTTTTATTTTAAGAAGCTTCATGTACATGTATATAACTTCTACATGTATAAGACCGACTGGATTAAAATTTCAGCACTTGGTTGCTGAGAAAATCTAACTAACGTATTATGAAACCCAAGTCATGAGAAATCATTCAAGAGTGTGAAAGAAGAATACTGGTTTTTACTTTGAAGAATGGTGCAAATGAGCCATCTGTGTCACTTTCTTCAGTGGCATCTTCCAAGAGGAGTTCTTGACAGCTTCCCGTAGGAACATCAGGAATACCACTGTGATTCTCGGCCAAGCTGAAATATGTAATGTTTGCCTGACTCCCTACAAGCGAAGGAAAAACACATATTGTGTCACCGATTGATAAACAGTTGGTTGTCTATTCAACTCATAAAAATGTGATGCTGACAACAGCTTAATTTACACAAAGCCTACATAAATCTCCATCGTCTAATTGGTGGATAGTAGACCATGTGACAAGAAATACTTGGACCAATGAATGGTGTGCATGCACTGCAAACATAAGGTAGAGACTGGCACAACTGTGAATAACAGTTACATGTACATGTAGTTTGTTTTGTTGAACAAAACTGCATGCTAGTGCCATCCAAGGTGGCCTGAAGATGGTGCATGCTGTAAGTTCTTTGCATAAAATGGCAGGCACCAGACAATATTCGAAAAGCATCTGTCCTTTTAATTGATGAAAAAATTTCTGAATTTGGAAGTGATGCTGATGCTTCTAAATTTCTAAGACAGAAAAACAACGTAAATATGTGTATGCAGTCAAAAGAAACGGGCATGTTTCAAAACATCCAGGAATGCGAGTTTAAGTCATAAACTGATTTAGAATGAGCCAAATTCTTTTCCATGTTAGTCATTTGCAAAAGTTTAAGACCACCTTAAACAACCAGAAAGGGGTAATTTTTGAAGGTGGGACATGAGGAATACTATTTCCCTGTCCATAAACTTGATCATTTATCAGAATAACCATACATGAAAAATTTCAATTTGTCCTACACATGTTTCTGTTCGTCACCTTTTCAGAACCATTTCTAGCAGTTTTCAACTTCTGCAAATAAGCACTGGGTACAGATAGTGCATGCGTTCAAATTTCCAAAGTACATAAAATGTCCCCTGTTCTTTTTGTGCCTACAGTTATAGCTGTAGATGATCACCTCTTGGAGTCTTTATCTCACTGGGTAAACACTCACAACATGGCTATATATAGTCATCATACCACTTCTGTTTAAATACTGCAGTGGTGCAATAATCCCCCGAAGTTGCCAGTCCACAAAAAAAGTTTGGTACAAGATAACATCCTACCAGTGCCTCGTGTGCTGTTATATATGGAACATGTTATATCATGCCTATCTGGCAAAGGGCAAAGCAAGCGTGAATGCTTGATTTACGCTAAAAAAGAAAATGACCTTTATACAGATTAATATGCACCTGTGCCTTGTCATCCGATTCAAATAAGGCCAAAACTGGAAAGTGTGCGTGTGCGTTGCATGAGATGCACACAATGATAATTTAACAACACAATTACAGTACATTTGCATGTGTACAGAACCACCCTTAATCAAAGTCTTACATGGAACTGCACGGGTACAATGCATCCCGGAGAAACACTAACCCTAAAAGCAATGAAGATTATGAATCCTTTTGTGTACAATTATTCATCAACAGGACCCTACTGAAGAACTCCTCCCCAGACACAAGACAAAGACTAAGCCTAAACCTTTGTTTTCTGTCTGTACTGTCTGAAGTGTCAGAATATTTCTCAAAGACCTAACTTTGTGGGACACTTAAGTGTTAGCATTGAAGAGTCCAGTGCGGGGCTAGGTGGTGACATGCCAATAATTAAGTTTTTGGAGTCATCCTTGGCCCACTTCACACCTCATTGTGCATGCTGTAAGACTTCCACTTTAATTTTTCTTTGATCTATCCTTCCTCCGTGACCACATGATATGCATGATTTTTGATACTGTGGGCTCACAGACCCAGTCGCTACTCTCCTGATTGGTCATTAGAATGCCATAACATGTCCTGAAGAGTCAAATTTAGCAAAGGAAATATCGAAGCACTTAATTCAAAAATGCACATTTTCAGACCAGTCTCATGCGATTTGCTTGCAGGGTGTCAAGTGATGTCTGCGAATGGAACTCTTTCCCAAGATCTGTTCACTTGCGCCACCTTACGAAACACTCTGATGAATTTGTGCCAAATTTCTGGACACCACTGTATTGAATTTCAGACTCAATTTCATGACACCAAAATGAGAGCATGTACACTGTACATTCTTATGACGGTAATAGTATCCGCACTATTTAACTGAATGAATCTGAAGTTTTCCAACAAAGAGGTTTGGCAAAAATTGCTTTAAATGGGAAAGTAATTTTGGAGATTTTTCACACAAGATTGGAGAAATTTGGCAGTGACAGAGCCACTACATGTAGTCTCACAGTTTCAGCGTGACATCTCTGCGTCTTATTTCTTGTCTTTGATTGGTCAGTGATGACTGCACCTTTCTGCTTCTTGAAGGGGCAGTAAGAGTGCTGTAGTCAATAAGGAAAAATCTGAAATACTGCCTCTACACTATAAAGCCTGTATTTATTTTTTATTCAAAATACCACAAATTTTGTGATTTTATGAAGTAGAAATATGACCCTGCAGACAACAAAAAAGTTTAATTTTTTTATTTAAAAACTGAACACAAGAAATTCCCCATACAAAATGAATAGCAGAATGTTCCTTTGCCCAGATGCACGTGCAAGACTACATTGAACAGCCTCCAACAAAGCCTTCTCCAAATGAAAGCTGGGCTATGATTAGTCATTGGAATGGAAGCAAATTCGACCAATCAGGGGGCAGCTTCCATATATGGGTGATTGAAAAAAAAGGAAAAGACAGGAGCTGTGTTGCGATTAGTTAAGCTATCACACAGTCGACAGTTACATGTATTGACAGTGCATGCTGCTGATTTTCTGTAGTGTGGATGGGCAAAATGCTCAAGAATTTCACCATTTTGATGAGGATATAGGGTGAATAAACCTCCCCTTCTGACATCTCACTTCACCAAGAAGGCATGCATGAAATTTGGCTGCACAAATAGCTGTGATGGGAGGGTAAGTTGGTACAATAAAACCAGCCAAATCGTGTTAACGGGAGTTTGTATTTAGCTATCTCCAAGGCTTGTATAAACCTTACAATTTTGGCAATAGGTTTTTTTTTGGGGGGGGGGAACTATGCTGACCGGTTTTACAAACTCAAATGACAAAAAAACATGGGGTCTACAAATATAAAATCCCCTTTTTTTAGGATATGTTATCACTTTCAGATGGCTAATAAACTACTGCAAAATTGTGACCTGCACATGCCAAACAATTGCTCTAAATGCCAAGCCCTGGCCCTATAACTTCAGCATGTTAGGCTAGGGCCTGACCTACACATGTAGGTTCCAAGTATTCCCAGAACTAGCCTAGGTTGGACGACGTCTACATTGCAATGTGACTAACGTCCAGGGTTAAAAGTCCTCCTACTATGCAAAATTTTCTTCAACAGTTTTTCTCACATTTTTACCTGGCGAAGACAGCTCAAGTCTCATTCACAAATGCTTTAGTAATTTCATGGAGGTAGATTCTACCTCCATGGTAATTTCAACACAGCAATTATGGAATTCAGGACACAAGGCATTTGTGAACGACATTTTTAGCTGTCTTCGCCAAGTAAAAATGTGAGAAAAACTGTTGCAAAAAATTTAGCACAGTAGGAGGACTTTTATACCCTGGCATGCCTGAACGTTAGTCGCAACGCAATGTAGACGTCGTCCAACCTGGGCTACCCCAGAACTGTGGGGTCCGACGTCCGTCTCCGGTACTTACAACATGGCGGCAACATCGGCTGAGAGTTTACTGCTGAATTGGGACATTGTTCCGCCTTTTTGCGACGTCTCTTCTTCATGCTTGTTTACGTTCTGATCCAGCTTGGCCAGTTTTGTCAATGATAAAACCATAACGGAAATTATCGCCCAAAAATCTATTTGATCAAGAGAAACAACTGTAACTTGTAAGCCTAAAAATAAGTAAAAGTAAAAGAGAGTCTTCTTCGGCTTTAACCACCCAGCTGCAAGCTGCACGGAGCTTTGTGTAATAAATGATGACGTGCCCGCGGCCGCGCGCGTGACTGCAACCCACAATGACGTAATTATCTAGTATGGTACCTGGTCGTCACGTCACTTTAAAGGTAACCACAGTTATAAAGAGGTCTGTCTGCTCATTGCCTGTGTGAGATCAAGTTAGCTGTGTCCTTCAGGAAATTTTTGCCAAAGTGTACAATATTTCAGGAAATGCAGAGATTGCAGGAATTTTGTTTTTGTTTAATTCTCATCAGAGAAATAAACCTTTCCCTTCTTTTCTTTGTTTTTCCTCAAAGCATAATCAGAAATCAGGCACTAGGTAGGTACATTTTACCTCCGTGTTTTTGTGTTCGCCTGAGAAAAAAACAAAACAGCACGATGAAGCATTCTTGGAATTTCAGGAAATACCAGTCGAATTTCAGGAAATCAGGAAATCTCGGACTCTATATATTTCAAGGAAATTTTCTTGACCTTTGGATACACTGCACTCGGGGGATACCAGAAGTTTGGTTTTGTTGCCAGTCTTGAGAGGAGACTATATACTTTGCTTTGAAAACATCCTCAACAAAGGGGCAGCGATCGATATATTGTGTAACTTTGATTTTCCCAAGCATGTTATGTAAAAAAAATACGCGCGAGCCTTTACGGTGTCGGCTGCAACCTGTTCCCATCAATTAGCCCTCTTCTTCTTTAACTGATCACTGCATTTGAAAAGTAGCCAGCTAATATAGTTCCAGTCGGCTTACCCCAAATGGACAATTGGAGAAAAAATTGCATCTGATCTATAATTCCCGTAGAGAAACTTAAAAAGTTATGGTGTAACCACACAGACGTCAGGTAAAATAACTTATCTGCACGGCCTTTTCAAGAGCGTCACTCCCTTCAGTATCTTTTTTGGTTTTGGGGTTTGATCATACGGAATTCCATTTTTGCCAATTACGCGGCTCGTGGGCATTTTTTGGGTCTGTCGCCACTTCCGCCATCAATGGCGTATGGTGTTCTATAGACGCCAAAATTGCGTCGCGTCGTCCCATCGCCCCGACGCTACGACACGACGATTGTATCTCGATGCCGTCCCGTCGTGCTGGGTCGTCTTGCCGTCGTATCGTGCCGTCGTGACGTCGCGTCTTGTCGTCGTCGCGTCGGGTCTGTCATGGTATGGCTTTTATATAGCGCTGCTTAGGCCGTCACGTCCTGCTGTCATGCTGTCGCGTCCTGATGTCTTGACGACGCGTCGTGTCGTCGCAACGTCATATCGTGCTGTCGGGTCGTGTCGTCGTCAGTCGAATCATGTCGTCGTGCCTTACTGTTTCTAAAAATGGCTGGTGATTACTACGGCTAATAGAGGGCGTATGCC